TCCAGTGAAATATGACATGATATTGTATTAGTTTAATCGTTAGCCTTGTGTTAGAATCGAATTCAGTTTCAAAAAATCATTCGATATCTCTGATTGATATTTTCGTCTGGGTCTATACATTTTATTTCGTAGTTTTGGTCTCATTTAGCACATTCACTCCAACTGTCGCCAAATATCAGCATAAATCTACATCACATGTAAATATGACGCATGATAAGAGGAAGACAAAAAAAAATATAAAAAAAGAAAATAATAGACTAGGGGACACCCGGGATTGAACCAGGGACCTCTCGATCTGCAGTCGAATGCTCTACCACTGAGCTATATCCCCGTGTCAGAAATGTATAACTTGTCGCTTGAGTTTCCTAAGAATATTATAATACGATACATTTAATAATAATCAACAAATATATCATTATCAGTTTTCATCGAAGGCATCTCAGCATTTGATTTTTCATGTTGAAATATTCATTACACATATAAGCATCTTCTTTTGTCAGCACTTACACTCAAGAAAAACTTCGAGGCATGACCTTATTTTGGTTTGTAGAGGGTACCAACATGATGGAAAATGAGGTTTAGAGCAAAATCGACGTTTTTCATGATGAGCATATTCAATTCTTGATCATTAGTCAGAAGTAATTTCAGAAACATTTGTTCATAGTGTTTCAAATGAAGTTCAATCGATTCGAACAATATTTCCATTAGAATGTGGGTAGTGGACGATGATAAATGTCACAAACACACTACCACCATCCAAACATATAGGCTCTTACAGTTTCATCATTTCCAATGGCTAAAAATAATAGGATGATTTCGTCAGAATCCTTCCGTGATTTACAAAGAAGTCATCAAATTAGACAAACTTCGCATGATTTGTAGAAATTTTTGTGCTAACCATTTGTGTTACAAAAAAATGTGAACTTCATCAAAATGTTGCACATACATATTGTACGCAAAATACTTTGATATTCACAGTAGCGTCATCGTTTCTCAAATTGAAGCTTTCGATTGCGAAAGTTTCCTAAAAACTCAAACAGTTCAACTAAAAGCATCTTAGAAAATGTATTCCAAAGATATTTGAATGCTTTTATGTATGAACACAGAATTGAATTTAGAACTAAATTCACGTTTTTCGTGTCTGAATTCACTCAGCGAGCTGTGATATGTTTCTTGATGATTGTGCTAAATACGGAATTCAATTCTACATAAATTGGTGCCATTTTCAGACGCGTTCATCATTCGTAAACTGTGTCTTCATAACCATTTACTGTATTTTGGAAGCTAAGCGAACAGTGCTGTTTAAACAGGTAGCGCAGGCTCATTGAACGAATTCGAACAGGAAAAGCTCGATTATGTTGCTAACGTCACTTCTGCTCGAATACATATGTGTATGCAGTATTCGAGCAAGTAGTTTGTTATGTCTCGATGAAGTTCGTGCTTTTTTATTACCGAAATGATCAACACAAAAAGCGTTACAAATCCTATAAGTTTCATTGCATTTGAAGACTTTTATGTAATTTGGATACGTAACATGTAGCCAAATATTCACAGCAATTCGTATAGATGGGTTATTGACAGATACATCGATCAAAATTTGTACTTGATTAAGAAGAGGATTTTAATCTTGATTATTCTATAATTAAAATCCTTTATGAGTAAAAAAATCGAATGAACTTCTCTATCTAACCTTCGAAAACCATCTTTAAGCAAAATTGTTCAATTGTTTGCATTCAATACAATTCAATTAGTTTATTTTTTGATTGAAACTATTTTATTTCTTACAGGATGTTACATGCATTTCACCTATGAATATTTGAACTATTCGCTTTTAGACGTAACCCCAAGTTTACCAGGATTATTATGTGTGAGAAGAGAGGAGGAGGCGGTCTTGTTGTCGCACTTGGCGAGTAAGGATGCAACGAAATCTTCCAATTCTATTGGAGAAAAAGAAATTTCTTAGGATTAAAAGCAGGTCATATTCCTAATTTCGTTCGCTCGCGACATTCATGCTATTCCATCTCTATCTTCAACATATTTGTCATAGTTCTAAACCAATTAATGAATCTTATAAGAGTCTGCCCACTCAACTCAGTCACATTGGAAAATTCTAGTCAATGAACTTGTTCTTGTTTCTCTTCGTTGAATGAGTTAGAAAGCGTTTTTTTTGTTGTCGATCACACAAAAATTTTCGTCCGCGTCGCGTCAAAATGTAACTACGGTTGTCTACTATAGAATAATGTGAAGTATTTATTCAATAACATTAGCAGACTACAAAATAAGACCATAACTGAGCCAAGTAATAATAAGAAAAAGAGGACTACAATATAGGAGGTATATATTCACAATGGATAGCATATCAGTTCATCAAGCAAATTATATGTATGATATTGTCCTATAAGATAAGAATAAATGAATATTGCATCTACCACCTAAAAGAATAGGAAAATACATCGGTACATTAAGAGCATAGATATGTAAATTATATGCAATATCAGACAAGAAAAGAAAATAGCGATACGTTGATGCGAGTACAACAGAAATATACATCGGAATGAAAATGTGATGGAGTTATCTCAAGATAAAAAGTCTGGAGAAAAATTATAAAATAGATCATAGTCATAGCTTGATCGTTCATTAGTTTTATTGTGTAAATTGAACTTACAACAACATTTTTCGAAATATCTTTGAGTTCAATTGAATTGAAAATGAATTTGCAAATCTCAAATCAATTCATAGATCTTTGAAAAACATTTCGACTCAATTAAACTAGGGTCATGAATTGACTTGAACTGAGTTGCCTAGGCTCTGAATCTTGTGACTTGAACACGTCTACGCGTTGAATCTGTGACTTCCTGTTACACTTTTATCAGGGTTAGAATTTCGTAGGAATTTAGAAAGACTTTTTTTTTTTGATGAATTCAAAAGAAAACTTATTATTCATTCAAATGTAGATATGATATTAAAGCGTAAGGCATTTAAATAGATTAATAAATGACTATTAGTGAGTTTAATAAGCTTCCATCTAAAGTGCATTTGAAAACCTGAGATCTAATGGTATTTTACAATTATAATAGACACAATTGATTAAAAATGTATATTACGATAGAAGAATTCTTATCCGAAAAGTTGCCTATTTTGGTAAACACAAGCATATTGAACCTTTGAAACAAAAAAATCCAATTTAAGTGTTTTCGACCTGAGTAAAGCTCGAAAAAGAAACTAAGACTTTTATCTATCTAAAAAGATATTTCGTCTAGGAAATTATTTGTTTATCATCCTTCAAACTCCATCGACATATCAGTTGATAAAAAAGAGTACATTACGTGACCTATAAAGATACAATAAATTAGAAAACAAATTCATCCTTACTACTAAAGTGTCCCAAGGATTCTTTTTCCACAATCAAAGTACGAAACAGAAAGAATTTATTTGTTCACGCTCCGAGAAAAAATTAGACTCTTCGGATTGACATATCATTCCGATTCGAAACACCGTTTCAGTCTCTACTGTTAATCAATATATCCTAATTTCAATCAACAATCATCATTTCGTTGTTAACGACAAGATCTCTATGTTGCCAATACATGTATAGATGGATAAATTGTAGAAAAGATTCAAATCTTAGACAAAAATACGTCAAATTCAAGGAGACTTTATTGATCAATCGGATTAGTTAACATTACAAAACCGATATCATAGGATAAAAACAATCTAAGGCTCTTCCATTTTGACGTTTGTCTACACATTAGTAGTTTTCGAACTAAAGATTATAAGTGAAAATCTATCTTCAGATTGTTAACATGATGTCTTGATTACCTGTGTGCTAATGCATCGATATTTTCGTACGTGCATCATTACTACTGTGAGTATGACATAAATGAATCAAATCATGATTCGACTTGTTTTTAGCAGTGTATTGTATTGAAGTTAGACAGACGTTTTCGAAGAAACGGAACTCTAAAAATACGCTTCCTTTTTTTTAAATGAATGTCATCAACTCGTTCTCCAACTAATAAACAGTATTCAAAACAGCGTCTTTACTTAGATTTGACTATTGTCATATTTGTGTTCGTTGTGGAAAAAATTAAACAAAAGAACACTGACTTACTCATTTACGTAATAATTTGAATAATTATTGCCATGCATAGAATGTGGAGTAAAGGTACTGGATGCGGATGAAGGTGATTGGGCATGGTCATGTGGAAGTGCATGCAATGGCGCTTGTGCGGGTGAGTTTACGGTTGTATTCAATATCATGAAATAAAACATATCATCACTGCACCCAACACCCTTACTTGATTGCTCAGAGCTGCTTAGGTAAACGTTACCATCAAAATAACTAGTGTTGGATTAGTGGATGGAAGTGCTCCAAATACATCTTCGATCTTTTTTATCAACGAAAAAAACTTTCTTTCAGTGATTACAATATACGAGCGTGTAATAAGCGCAGGAAGTCGCTAGTTTAAAAACAAATATAACAATCATAGAAACATCAGAAGAAATTCATTGCAACAAAGTGACTCAATTAGATTTCGCATAAATTATACAAATGTTATCTCACCTGATGCACAATAATTTTCTTTTGCATCATGTACAGGTGAATACACTATCACTTGCTGTTGGTCAGCATCGTAATTATGTGACTGCAATACACGAGTCCTACGAAACAGTACGTGCATTCGAGTCTGTTGTTGTTTGCGTACAACAAACCAAATAAGACTAGCAAGAGCCATGATGATAATAATTGAAGCAAGTGCGATTAAAGCAACGCGCTTGTATGAGCGACGTATTCTCTGATTCATCATTTCGACTGTATCATATTCCCTTGTTTGATCAGCATTAAAAGATAAATTCAATTGCATGAATTGGTGTAGCATAGTACGTGATCGACGTGTACAATTATATGGCACTATATGACTAGCATTGTAGAAGAAAATAGAAGTTAAATTACGTGCAGCTCAAATAAGACCGACAGGTTCGTCGTCAACAATCCACGGCTATAATGGAGCTAACCTCCCATTTCCCATGTCAAATCCAGTTCGATTGTTCCAAGCCATAGCATCCATCATTTTTTCAGTCGCCCAATGATTACAAATCAAGTCATATTCACTATTTTAGAATAAGATGGGAATTTTTTCAAGTAAATCAGGCAACAGTTCGATCGATGGTTTAGAATGATATGCGCGAAATGCGATAAGAACAGAGTTTGAATACTTTGTCCATATGTGTTTCTCACCATCAACGTGAATATGCGACATCACATCTTGTCGATGTAAATAAAGCATGAGATATTTCATTTCTGGCGGCCAATTCCTACCACAATCAGGCCATGTATCATCTGATCGTACGTCATAGATATTAACGCATCTATCCATGCTATTTATTTGGTAATGATTATTTATTGCGCCGCACTCAGTATTTGATTCATAACTGAATAATACTCTTCCTCGAAAACATGCACTTCTTTGGAAAGTGCATGCTGGCATATTCTGACTTGACTGCTGATATCATTATAGAGTACAGAATTATTTTCACTAAATTATTTTCAACTGCAAAAGGCAAATATGATTCATACATAGTCATAGGATCAATATAAGCATTTCCCATGAGAAGACCGCGTAATTTTAAGTTCGATCGTTTTGTAAGAATCTCTTTTGCGATATATGGAATATATTGACCAGCAAAAGATTCACCAGCCAAATAAATATCGTTTTGAAGTAGTTCTGGGAAAACTTCAATGTATCGATCGAGAAAACTTAGAAAATGATTTGCCATTGCATAGAGTTCATGAATAAGCGCGTCCGTATCAATATAGGAAAAACCAGTACCAACAGGCTGATCGACAAACAATAGATTGGCAAACATATTCCAAGATCCATTATTTTCAATTATTGTATTTTCATCTTGAAAGCGGAAAGGACCAATTTCTGTCCAAGCACCAATAAGACTACTACAACCAGGACCTCCATTAAACCAAATCACTGTTCTTGACTTGTCAGCAATATATTGACTTGCGAAATGCCAGAAAAATAAGGTTTCATTATGTTTTGGATCAAGAGGAAGTTGTCCAGCATGCATACGAATGGAATAAGCCTCTTGAGGTAAAAGAG